CTGTGGCCTTACCCTGGTGCAGCCTCTGGTGCTCCTTCTTCACCTGGTCAGCCGTGATGGTCAGCCTGGTCTTTGTTGACCTGAATCTTTTTAAAACAGTCTGAGACTGTACAAGTTGATATTTACAGTGTTTTTCCTGGATTAAGTAACTGTTGGAAATCACTGAGTTGAGTTAAAATATATTTTTTACTCATTTCAAAAAGTATTCTTTTTCCTCTAAGCATGTATGGTCTATCTGCTAATTCCATCTACTAGGAATTTGAATTAGAATTTGTGGCCCTCCTAGATTTTCACTGAGGCCACTGTTTTATTGTCCTGCCAAGCTGTTCAGATTGTCTTGTTTTAAATACTCCTCTATGTTATTTTAGCTTGCTGAATTGCAAGCAAACTTATTTTATTTATTTAACTTAATTTACTTGTTTTCTTTCCTTGAGTAAATAACCACAGTGGAATAACCTCTTCTCTTATATTTTTCAGAATGCTCTGAGCCCTTTTGTGACCAAGGCTTATTATTCAGATAAAAAGTGATGGTATTATAGAGGGAATTTCTTTATCAACACAGAATGTAAGAATGAAGAAATTCTACTCAACTTGCTCATTGAGTTCCGAGCATGATGTCATAAGAGAATCTCATTTGATGCAGTCAAATGACTAGCTGCTTGGGTAAGCAGGATGCTATTATGGTCAGTAGCACCAAGGCCAGGGATAGAGAATAATCAATCTGTTATGTGATATGGCAAAGCAATGCTAAAAATCACCTAAAATAAACTCATGGGCATCAGCAGAGATGGAATCCAATTTTTTAATAACACTGTATGTATTCAGCTGTCTTTTGTGTATTGGAACAAGGATGGATATTATTAAACAAGTCCTGGTCAGTGACCTGTTGTTTAGCCATGTCTCTGTAAAAGTAAGGATAGATTTAACCCTGTACCCTTTTAGATAATTGATGTTTGCTTGCAGTTGTCCAGTTTGTTCTGCAATGAGTGTATATTTCCTAATATCACGGACGGTAGAGGCCTCCTTTTAATTTATCATTTCAGTTTTTGCCTTTCTTCTTTTCTTTTTAGTTCTCTCTTTGGTGCTTTGACTGTCCAAGTGAGTTGCAAGCCGACACATTTCCAAAGGTCTATTTCAGTCTGGATAAATCATGCACGCTCCACTGTATTGAACACTTAGAATGAATTCCCTGTTCATTGAAGGTGAACCCTGACTTTTTACTCCCATGTTATCCAAACAAGCAGTGAATACAGAATCCAGTACATGGTGCTCTCATGAAAGAAAAAAAAAGTTTTAAAACAGTCAATTTGTAGGACCAATAAACAACATCACTAATGTGAAAAATAAAAACAAACAATAATAAAAGGGGTGGGGGAGGAGTAAACAATTTGCACTTGCAGCCAAGAGGTCTTCGTGATTAGCAACCTGGAAACAGAAGTAGGATAAGACCTCCCATACTTACACATGTTGGAGAGACCAGAAACTCTTGATATGTGTACTTGCACTCTTCTAATGTCCTCACAAGCACATTTCTATAAATAATAAGATACAATGAGGCAAAGAAAGAATTTAGGTAAAAAAGTAATGTTCTTCTGTTTCTTTAAACACCAAGATCATTTAGCTGTCAAAGCCAAAAAAGGCCATTTCAGTTGTTCACGGAACCATTTTCTATCATAAGTTCCTTCATGGTTTTAAGTTCATATCTAAACCTATTTTACACAGCAGAATCAAGTGTGACAAGAAAAGATTAGATCACCTTATTGGCCATATACAATTTACTGTATAAGAATTTGTCTTTTCGCATACGCCAACTTGCTCTCCATGAGATACACAGACAGGGAGAGAAGCTTGGGGTCAGAGCGCAGGGGGAGCCATTTATACAGCGCCCCTGGAGGAGTTGGGGTAAAGAGCTTTGCTCAGGGGCCTAACGGAGTAGGATTCCTCTGCCGGCCGCGGGATACGAACCAGCAAACTTCAAGCCAGTGAGCAGTGAGCCTCAATCATTGCCTGAGAGGAGCCAGCTGTTAGACCTTAAAATCATGATATCCGACAGCTGGGCTCCACCACATTTAAACCTGATTGTCTGTGTATCAGTTGTATGATGTAGCTACCATACAGTTCACCAGGGACAAGCTGCTGAACCAGAGCACCATGGAGCCAATTGCAGAGGACCAGTTGTATGAGCAAATAGATCATGAGCCCGAAGGGCCTCTAAGAAACAAGTTTCTGAGTGGGTCCAGTGGTTACATGTTTTCTTTTGTTTGAAAAAACTTCACAATGTGAGCATTCTTCTTGAAAAGGCTTTTTTAAAACGATAAAGGATGCAATGGCATTGTGTCTACAGCAGCCTCCACCTCTCAATCTGTTCATTGCCTACCCTGCAGCACAAAGAACTATTTAATATTCTCAACTTGCAAATTCATGTAACTGTAAGTTATGTGGTTATTTAAAGCCAAGTGAAAAGAATATTACACAGTTTCATCTCCTCATTTTAAAATATATAGAACCCATATTTCATGAGACAGTTTAAGAATGTATTTGTTTATCAACAAAATAAAGAATTGTTTCAAGGCTGGCATAGTTCTGCTTTTAACTCAAACTGACTAACCTGCAAAACACAAAATATACCTATTTATTTATAGCAGTTTTCCACTAGGTACAACTGAAAAGCCAGTAAGAACCAAAAAGCTGGTATCAAGAACTGCATCTGTAATTAATGACCAGTAGATGGGTTAAACTTTTAGATTTATCTAAGTCTGGTAACTGAAGGGAAAAAAATCATCATATCTAAACCACATTACAAAACTTATCTCATAGGTACAGATCATTCCAACAAGGCAGTTCCAAAAATATAATTTATCTAACATTAACAGAGCTATAGTTATTCCAAACTACAATTTGTGCTGAGAGACCTCACGTGGTATCCCACCTACTAACAGGAAAACTCAAGCTTTCTCAAATTACCTTGCAGAGGATGTTTCAAAACCTTTGACGTTTTCTAGTAGAATGTACTTGGGAAGCTTGTTGAGTCTATGGAAAAGGGAACAGTTGCAGAAGAAAAAAATAAAAATGTAACTCCATTGTTTGCCAAGATGAACCTAAAGATGAAGTAAAACCTTCCTTAAACACTCAAATACATTCAACTTGCATTAAAAATGTCAATCTGAGATTTCTGACTTCCTGAAGTAATTTTTTATTGCCTCAAGATATTCACAAGGTCAGAATAAATTTCACATTCCTTTAATGATTATTTTATATTCATAGAAATTATCCTAAAAATAACATACCTTTAAATTTAAGAGTTTCTCTCAAATTGGGCATTTTGAGAGAAATACCCAACAATACCTATTAAATGCCCAACAGCTTTTAATGCCAATTAATTTATAACAGGTTTTCTTCCCGCACTTTAAAAAAATAATGGTGGTGCTGTGATAGATTAACAATCCTTTAAACTATATTTAGTTTAAACATTTAACATTTAGGAAAGCAATAATCATATTCCTTTCTGTGTGCAGCACAGTAGAGTGATAGTTTATGTCATGGCATGAAAGCTCAAAGTTTCCTGGGTTTGATTCTAAACTGTTTGAAGTCTGGATGTTTTCCTTATGTTTGGATCTCTCTCTCAGTGCAGTGCTATTGTATCCGGTCAATATGTCTGTATTAACCCTTCTCTTTCAGTTCATTGTTATCAAACTGGATTTAGAAGGGGTGAATGCTCACACTGGCCTTACACAATTAGTAGTGTATGGATCCATACTAGTACAATTGTAGTACATACAATTAGTGGAATACAGATTTATACACATCAGAACTATTGTTCTTCTTATAATATATATCTATCTATCTCAGTTATCTGTATACTGGTATAGTTAGTAAAATAGTTATTTTTTAAAAAATAGGAAGACAATGTGAAGAAGCATTAAAAAAAGTGAGCAAATGTTCACCTATATAGTTAAAGGTGGAACATTTAAATCAAATTATATTATGTTAAACTAGTACAATGAACACGTAATACTGTAAATAATGGATTCTATTCTGGTCAAAGAAAGAGATAGCTGCTCTGAATCCATACAGATAAAAAAGCAACCAGATGCATTTCCAGGCTTAAAGGAATGTCCTACACTGACAGGCTTAAAAGATCTAAACTTTTCTTGACCTAAGTATTCAAAAGTATCCAAATATTGAAATTCCTCAAAGGCATTGACAAAAGGAAAATTATGCATAAGTGCATTTAAAAAAACATGCACATGGAAATTATGCCTAAATGCATTTAAACAGGATTACAGTCCAAAACTAGACTTTCTGTGCTTAACCAAAACCTGCCACAAACAAAACGATGGACTACTGTTTAACCAGCTTGTCCCTCCTAGGTATGGTTTGTTTGACCTTCCGTGTCTCTCAGTCAGAGGTGGGGCATCATTGTTATTTACAACCTTTTTTACAATTTAAGTCCCATTACTATACTTCCTCTCTCTTCTTTTGAGTGCCTTGTTTTTAATGTCTCTATCCCCCAATCTACTATCATTGCCACAGTTTATAGACCAAACCCAGCAAAACCTTTTTAGGTGAGTTTGTTGATCTCCTCTCACGTTTATGTCTTAAATTTAAAAGGATCCTTATTCTAGGAGACTTTAAAATACACTGACTCAAGGCCATCCAGTCTGACTAAAGACTTCCTTTCTCTACTTGGATGTTTTGATCTTACTCAATTTGTTCGTAGCTCTACACATAAAGGACACACCCTAGACTTAATCATTGCAAATGTCTCTTTTGTTTCCCACTGCTCTTCCCTTGATCTAGACCTCTCTGACCACTTAGCTATTCACTTCAATCTGGAATAACCCATTTCTAACACTCCCCCCCCCATGCTCTGTAAATATCCACAACTGGCGATCAACTGATCAGCCAAGGTTTGCAAATTCTGTTCTGTCCTTCTTATCTTGTTTCTCTTCCTCTGACCCTCTAGAGCAGGGGTGGGCAAACTTTTTTATCCCAAGGGCCACATAAAATTTTGAAACTGTAGAGTGGGCCACAAATGCAGGATATTGCAAAGCAAAGCACAACAGAGCTCTGTTGCTTATTCCTTGGTACTCCAATAGTATGAGGTTTTTTGCATTGTGCTACTCGGTATGCTACTTTGTATGATGAAAAAATACGAAAAATACTCACGAGGCTTACTTATCAAACTGCTGTGAACAGTTTCCAAATAGCATTTCAATTTATTGGTGCACATGCACTCAGCAGCCAACACTTTAAGACAGACAACACACTGAGGATATTGTCAGTGTCCACAATTGTACATGTGAAACCGAAATTCAAGAAACTGTCGTCATACTTTCTGCATTTGCGTTTCCGTTTCTCTTTACAACTGGGCTCCATGTCCACATTTTTTACTCATATTTAAAAACCTCTCAATTGTGATCGTGTAACACAAAACTCACAAAATGACCACTCATAGAAACATGAAACACCGAAGCCGCGGTCAACTGGTATGCTGCTTACAGACCGCCGACTCTCCCGGCCAGTGTCATGTGACACATTCTGTGTGCACCAACAGCGGGTTTTGCTTGTACTAAAATTTTTGACTGGTGATACCTGAGACTCCTCTGACCGACAATGGCACCTCCCCTAGGTGGTGCAATGCACAGTTTGGAATCACTTTGGTAAAATGTCCATACACCACCTAACGGCACGAATAATGAAATGTAAGAAAAAACGGCACCAAACAAAGTGGAATATGGCGAATACTGACTAATTTATTTTTTACCTCAATGGCCGGTTAAAACTGGCTGGCGGGCCGTGGTTTGCAACTTTGCAACACGTTCTTAGATTTCTTTACCTCTAAAATCGACAACATCCGGCTTCACATTCTCTCCACTACGCATATCATTTCCATACCTCCTCCCTCCTTATTCAACTTTTCTGGTTACCTTCTCTCCAACTTCTCTCTTCAGCTTCCCTCAATAAACTAGTTACACACATGAAACCCACCACATCTATTTTAGATCCTATTCCCACCACTTTATTTCAGTCCTGTTTCACTTCTCTCTACCCCATTGTCCTCAATAAAATAAATGAATCCTTGAGCAGTGGTGTTGTACCAATGGTGCTCAAAACTGTTGCCATTACCCCCTTACCAAAAAAGCCTAACATGGCTCTCAACAATCTAAACAATTTTCGCCCCATCTCCAACCTACCCTTTCTTGCAAAAATCCTAGAACATGCTGTCACATTTCAGTTACATAACCACCTCATGGCAAATAACCTTTTCAAACCCCTCCAATCTGTCTTCCATCAACTTCACAGCACAAAAATTGCCCTGGTCAAAGTCACTAACGATCTTCTAATAGCTTCTGATTTGGGTTCTCTTTCTATATTCATCCTTCTTGATCTCAGTACTTCACACTGTTGACCATGACATCTTACTGTTTCGTCTTGAGACTGTGTTTGGAGTTTCTGACACTGCTCTCAAATGGTTCAAGTCTTACTTCACTGATCGCTGTCACTTTGTCTCTCTCAATGGGTACAGGTCTGAAATTGGTCTTGTCAAGTCTGGTGTCCCCCAGGGCTCAATACTGGGGCCCATGCTCTTCAGCATTTACATGTTTCCACTTGGTCAGCTTTTAAGATCACATGGCCTCAGTTATCATTTCTATGCTGATGATACTCAGATATACATCCATACCAAACCTGACACTGATGTGGCTGTCTCTATTCTATCTAATTGCATCTCTGACATTAAAACGTGGATGACTCAAAAGTTCCTTCATCTTAACTGTGACAAGACTGAGGTCATGTTTATTGGCACCCCCATCAACTTTGTAAAGCCAATCCTGTAACCCTATCTGTAGATGGCTGTGTACTCGAGCTTCAGTCTAAATTGAAAAACCTTGGGGTGATATTCAATTCTGGCTTAATATTCGACCATGCAGCATTTTGTCAAAACATATTTTTTTCACCTCAGAAATATAGCTAGACTATGCCGTATGTTATAATTAATTTTGGCTGAAAAGCTGATCAACACATTGACTACTGTAATGTTCTACTCGTTGGGGTATCTAAATCTACATTTAACAAACTGCAGTATGTCCAAAATTCAGCAACCAGAATCCTGACCATGTCTAGTGCAAATGTTCACATTACTCCTATCCTGAAGTCCTTGCACTGGCTTCCTGACAAAGTCTGTGTGGACTTTAAAATCCTCATGCTCACCTATAAGGCTCTGCATGGCTTTTCACCTCAGTACCTGTCTGAACTATTATCGCCCTACTCCTCACCTCGCAACCTTTGCTCTTCTAATTCTGGTCTCCTGACTGTCCCCAAGCCTGTCTACATTCTATGGGTGACAGGACCTTCTCCTGTTATGCCCCCAAGCTCTGGAACTCTCTGCCCAAGGATATCAGACAGTCACCTTCTCTAAACTCCTTCAAATCCAGAATCAAAACCTTCTTCTTTAGAAGAGCCTTTACTTAACTCAGTAGTTCTCAAACTTTTTGGACCAAGTACAACCCCTAATCCAACCAAAGCATCCAAGTACCACCTACAAGTCATCTTCTCATAGGAACCCCAGAAATTCTCAATGACCAACATGAGCACGCGTGCACACACTCACACATACATATAATAAATATTATAATAATAAACTTAATTTGATATAGCGCCTTTAAAGGTGGCTTCTCAAAGTGTTTTACAGAAAAAAAAACATTAACAACAACTAATAAAAAAGCACCGTTTCAGTGAGAGGGGTGAGCCTGTTTAGTTGAGCAAATTTTCGAGCCTTGATACAATTCACAACAGAGTCTAACAGATATTAAATCGTCAGGCATTTTCTTGACTTCAAAGGTCTCACGGTGGATGTTGTAATGCGTACATTAATTTCTGGAGCAACCTATCTAATTCGTGGAACTACACCGTTATGTCGGCTTGTCATTGCTCTAGCACCGTCTGTACAAACTCAGACGCATTTTATCCAGTCGAGGCCATTCTCTTCAATAAATTCATTCAGAAGCTGAAATATGTGCTCTCCTGTAGTTCCTGTTGGTAGCGGTTTACAGAACAGAAAGTCTTCATGGGACATGCCCTCAAACTCGTATCTAACGTAAACGAGCAAAATGGCCAAATCGACTACAGACTCATCTAATTGCAGTGAAAAACATCTGCTCATCTTAACGCGCTCTATCAGTGTACTTTTGATATAATCCTTCATTTCAATAATTCTATGAATGACTGTCTTTCAGGGGGAGGGGTATGGAAGCCTGTTTCCGCCAGGGAGTAAAAAAAAAACTCCCGACTTAGCATCTCAGAATTGCGACTTTATCTCCCAATTCAGGCAGAAACTAGGGTGGGAGCGGCGAGGGCACAAACCCGAGAACCCGAATCCGTTACAATAACAAAAGGACAGACAATGAAATATGGCTATTTCGAAGTGATATCTCACATATGGCTATGTGAGATATAAAGTCGGAATTCTGAGTTGCTAAGTCGGAATTCTGAGATACTAAGTCGGAATTCTGAGATACCATAGCGCGTTTTTTTTTTTACTCCCGGCGGAAACGGGCTTCCATAGAGGGGGGCAGCAGGTCAAGCTGTTTAGCAGCTTTTTCTCTACACATAATACATGTCAGCTCTTTTGCCAACGGTAAATAAGGTTATTCAAAAATAGTGTAGCTTACCTGCTTTAGCAATCCGCAAGATTGCATTTTTCCGCGTTTCCGTTTTTATTTCCGTATTTATTTAAAGTTTTTATTTCATGCGTAAGGGAGCGAAACACAGAGACGCTCGGTGTATTTTTCTCAAATTAGAACAGTTCTTAAATATTTTTCTGTTATCACGCTTTCATGTGCTCACAAGATTACCTGCGTTCGTAGCACATATTTCTATGCATTCCTGTGTTTACAACGTTAGCATTGTTCCAAAATCACGCACATTCTCCTTTCTCCCTATTTGCTGGAGATACAGTAGCATTTTTTAAATACAATTGGTCATTTGCATCCATAGCACGCATTCCTATAGAGTGGTATAGAATTACAGAGTATCTCTTGTGTCCACTGAACTATTAGCGCGCACTGTATCGTAGTACGTAGGCTGTGTATTCGACACATATTAAAATACAAAATATGAAAACCTGTTCCAATTTTTCAGCACACACGACACAGTTCCAGGGTCATTTGGCGTACCACTGCCGGTACGCGTACCACAGTTTGAGAACCACTGCTTAACTGGTTCCATTCTTTACCCCTCTGCTCCTACTATACTTAGTACCACCATCCACGGTCTCCTCTGTGTATTGTAATTGTTTTATCTTGTGTATTCTTTTTATTTATTGTTCTGTAAAGCGCTTTGAGAAGCCACCTTTAAAGGCACTATATAAAATAAAGTTTATTATAGTTTTTTTACACAAAGGATTGTGGGAATAATGACTAAGATACCCAGGCATGTGGTTGAAATCACAACTTGGGTTTCTTCCAAGAAAATGTTCAATTAGATACAAATTACCAAATGAGTTAGATAGGCCAGAAGGCCTTTTCTTCATCACATGCTTATGCTCTTACAGTATGTTCTTAAATGTTAACTATTTAATACAAACCCTACTTTACAATTAAATGAAATTGTTTTTCATTTATAAAAAGATAAATTTTAATTCGATTAAAACCAAGAAAATATCTGCCAGGTGTCAGATTTAGCTTCAGCCATTAAAAAAAAAACTGTAAAAATCTATGTAACCCTGTTCTAATGATTCTCAAAAGCAGGCAGCTGCCATCAGCATGGGTTATAAACATATTGGTAAAAGGTGGGTACATGGATACATAAAGCTGGCTATTATAGCTCAGAGGCACTCCATTGCCTATGTGGACTACACATGACATAAATCCAGTGGGCAACTTCCTGTAGTGCTTATACGTTGCCTGTTAGTTATGGCATCCTGCACAGGTCCCACCCTGGCCGGACAGTGTGGTCTGTAGTGTCAGGTATGTGTTGCGAATCAGGATAAGGAATATGGGATAGGGAACTAACTACCATCCTGCAACAGAATGCTACTTCAAACTCCTGTGCCACCGCCTTGCCACCTAATTATATCTTCAATATAAAAGATGAACAGAAAAGAATATATAATATTGCAAAGTCAAAATAATTCAGCAGCAGGCCTACCTTGGAAGAATATCAAGGAAGTAGAGAAAGCTCTTTGTTCTATGGTCAGAAACATCCCCTTGCAATCCAATTCTGATGGTAAAAAAACACAAGACCTTTCATTAATCAAAATATAAGGGTCATAAATCTGTGATTTACTTTCTCGATGCTGAAAATTGAAGATCACAGTCTTTAAAGATTCTTTAATCTTAAGTTAAAACAAACATCCATCACATGCAACTGTCATCACCTTTACAAAAGAGGTGAGACAATTTTAATTAAGTCTGTCTTCTTCCTGACAAATCAGTGAAAATAATTGATTGACATACCTGGTAAAGGGCTGGCAAGGAGGACTCATCAAAACCATGTCAAAGCCGATCTTATTGAAATCACTAAGCGTTACACCCTGGAAACAAAAATGAACCGGAATCAAGACAAGCTAGAGATAATGAATTTACACCTCTGACAGCCATGATCACATGGATCTCTCTGCATCTGCGTTCTCAAAGAACGTTTTTTAACTCCTATAGCAGAAAGACATCAGAAACTAAAATTATCCTGAAACTTGGTTCACACCTTCCGCCTTCTCTCAACAACAGACCTGTTTTCTTCTAATCCTCTCCATTCATTTAAAGGTTTCGACTTCATACCTCTCTCGACTTCGCACCACCTGCTTCTCCCCTGCTCCCGCCTCCTCCACTCTCCTGGCTTTTACTCTCCTGTGCTATATACTGTCTGCCCTGTCTTAGTCACACCCGAAGAAGGCTCCACAGCTGAAACGTTGTGTTTCCTTTCTTCTCTTTTCAGCATGGAATAAACCTTTTACTTGTTCCTTTGCAGCTTACACATGCTGATGCAGCTGCCCATATGAATTTGCTCTGTGAGTTTTGCTTTTGAAGTAAAAGACAGAGAAGAAAGTTTCATTATTAATGATATGATTAAAAACTGAGGTCTTCAGTTTTTGATTTTTTTATTTATATTTTTAATGAATTTACACACTGGGACTCTATCAAGGTTCACTGCTTTCTGAAGCTGAGAATGTATAGGGCTCATAAATGTCTCATCTTTTAACTCATTATGCTAGAAAATACCATTAGGCATATATTTTTTTAATATCAGTAAAATCAGCCAAATATCATTCTTTCATTTGGAAATGAGTTCTACTTTAAGGTTTTAACCATTTGGATGATAAGATGCATTGGGTTTTTGCCAGACGTACCGTTTTGCATTCCAGTCAAAAAGTTCAAATTTGGTCTCATCTGACCACAGCACTTTTTGCCACTTGGCCAAAGAATCTTTAAGGTGCTTTATAGCAAAATATAAACAAGACTTGATGTGGAATTTTTTTGGAGTGACTTTTTTCTTGCCACTCTCCCATACAGACCGATTTGTGGAGTGCTTGTGATATTGTTGTCGATGACCAGTCTCTGCCATAAAGGCCTGGAACTCATTCACAGTTGCCATCGGCCTCTTGGTAGCCTCTCTGATCAGTCTCCTTCTTGCTCAGTCATCCAGTTTGGAGGGACAGCCTGATCTAGGCAAGGTCTGCGAGGTGCCATATGCCTTCCACTTCGTAATGATGGTCCTGACTGTGCTCCATGGGATACTTAAAGCCTTTGAAATCTTTTTATATCCATCTCCTGACATGTGCCTTTCCACAACTTTATCTCAAAGTTCTTTTGAAAGCACCTTTGCGCACATAGTGGATTCTTTGCTTTGAAATGCACTTCCAAGCAATGAAATCCTCTAGAAACAGCTGCTTTTATTCTGAATTAATAAAAATCACCACAATTGATCACAGGTGGGAGCCACAGGAGATGTGGGCAAAAGAAAGTCTGAGAGGCAGCTGGCAGCACCGACAACGACAATGGGGTCTCCAGGCCAGAAGTTCACCATCGGACCAGGAAATGTGGGGGTTGTGCCTTTGCAACCAAGGGTATCCAAGAACCAGAGAACGTGAAGGAGAGTGGAGGAGGAAGAATTGGATGCTCTTGGTCTGGAGGGCACCGATGCGAAGGGTAAGGGGAATTGTCTACCATTCAACTAGAGCCAGAGGGGATCCATAAAGGGTGAGGAGGTGGATAGGGGGTGAAACAGGGAGAAGTGGAATGTTCCAGGTAGTAGTGAGTCCAGAATCTATGAAGTTTTCCTCGGCACCTGAGTCGACAAAAGCCAGAAGAGATTCTTGAAGCTCGTCCCAGGAAATGAGTGCGGGCAAAAAAAAGGCCTGAGGAAGAAGAGGAGGAGGGAAAGATACTGATCTTAGCGGAGGGCGGGGAAGTACGGGGGTGGGGGGCAGACAGGGCATGAGGCTTGGAGATGATCAGATGCCCCACAATAAATAAAGGCAACGCCCCTCACAGAGCCAGCAGTGTCACTCCTCAGAAGACAGCCTGGTGAGGGGGGTCATATGGGGAGGGGCGGAGGGCGAAAAGGGAGGGGGGTTGAAATTTGGGACCTGTATTCCTGAAGTCTGATATCAATCTCAGCAAGACGGGAGATAAGGTGCTCCAGGGAGGGAAAGTCGAGTGGCAGGTAAGTGAAATGATTCTGAAAGGCATCAGACAATCCGCGGCGGAACTGGTGGATGAGAGCCTCTTCATTCCAGGGGACTTGGGACATCAAAAAGTGGAATTTCATGGCATAATCCTGAGAGAGGTGAGATGGGAGATGGCTAAATGGTGGGAATGGAGCGGACCAAAAATGGACTGCATGGCAGCAGAAAAATGGTTGGCGTCGGCAGTCACTGGGAGATTCCGGGCGAGGAGGGTAGTAGCCCAGTCCAAGGCTTGACCGGAGAGATGGGAGACCATAAAGGCGATCTTCTCTCTGTCAGTGGGGAAAGAGTCCGGGCGAAGGTGGAAAGCCATCCAGGCACTAGGTCAAAAAAACTCTGAAGTCTTGCCAGGTCTCCCTCAAATTTCTCCGGAGTGGGGAGGGGTAACAGGCTAGCGGCAGCAGCCAGGGGAGGGGCTGGCACGGGCGCTGTCTGTTGGCATGGTCCATTAGGCGCTGAACCGCGGCGGTCAGTTGTCCAAGAACCTGGGACTGCTGCTGAAAAAAGGCAACGGTGCCATTCTGGTCCACTGGATCCATGTTGTGCTCACTATTCTGTAACAATGGGCAGGTAGGAGGTATGGATCCTGTGCAGGACTCAAGAGAGAGAGAGAACACTAATCCAAATCGCTAAGAAAAACATATTCCAGGAAACAAGCAAGAAGGTCAGAAAATGACAAAGACGACTAGAGAGCAATAATCCAAAATGCGAGACGAAATAGAAAACGAGAGGCAAATTAGAAGGTCAGATACCGAATATAAACTAGAAATGAAATAACGTGTACTTGGGAGCTCGAGGAGAATCAGCAAAAGTGAGTGGAGAAGTGAGGAAAGAGGAGAACTAAAGTAGTGACGGGAGTGAACGGTGATAGGTAAATTACTTGCGGTGTTAGCGTTTGTTAAACACAGTGCATGTGGGAATGAGACGGGACAGAGACGCGTGTGAAATGCGTAACAGACTGCCTTGTCGCCTGATCTGAATGCAGCATCACAGGTTCTTAGCAGTGCATGGACCTCTGCAGTCATTCATGGCTTCTGGTTGGCCAGTGTGATGTTGGATTTGGAGACAGTGACGTCATCTATACACTAACTGATGTAGGCAGTCACAGATGCTGCATACTCCTTAATGGTAAAACTACTTAAGACATTTCTATACACATAACTGTGAATTTGAATATTTATGGAAACTACTTCAAATTTATTTACAGATTTATAGAAGTTATATTCAGTTACATAAATTTGTCAGGGGTTGTTCTTATCTCTACCACTAAGATGAAGAATACATTCCAGCCTTGATTCCAGGGAAAGATACACAGATATTATCAGGTATTCAATGGAGAGGTTTTAGACTTGGGTATAATTACCCTCTGCTGACAAAGCAACCAACCTTTAACCACCAGTAAAGCTCTAACAGGTTATTCTTTTACTTAAAACATCCAATTATAGTGCAATAGAAATAAAAAGCCAAGTTTATGAGGTAAGGAAAATTTCCCAAAGAAACACAACATGGTGCATTTCATAGCAGTTTAAAAAGGACACACTCTCTGCTGTAAATATCTAAGTAAAAAACTTGCAATGGGAATTTGTTAAGTTAATGAAGCAATTACAGTAGTAATGAGAATGCACATACAAAAATATTTAAAAGGCAATGATGAAAGGGAATACCGTCAGAGGTTTTCTTGCATCCTTGGAAGTTACATTTTCAGAAATGTTAAGAAGGGGAGGGGGCTAATCTGTCACTACTCTGACTTTGTTCCTCTTTATATATCTGCTACTTTCCCCTTCTCTCTTACAGGCAAAACATTTTGTGTTTTCTTTTAAACATGGAACAAACCTTTATCTTTTCCATTATAAATGACACCATTTAAATACCACTATATTAATACTTTTTATATATTTAACTTTCTATTGCAGGAATATACAGTATTTTAGTGTCAGTAATGACACTGAAAAATCAATTAACAAATTATTAGACAAACTTAAACATTATTGGCATCTCTGATTTTCCTTGCTGCAAAAAGAAATTATTTACATGATAAACGTAAAGGTACAAAAACTGGCAAGCATCAAGCTTTAAAAAATGTAAATGCAACAAAGCCTCCTTGATTTCCAAGGCATAGTGTAGTGTTCAGCTGATCCGAGACCAACTTATCAATTCCAGAGTTTGTAGAATTTACTGTTTATTGTATTTGTCAGCTGCTGGAAGATTGTGACATACTTAACTACAAATGCAAATGATTATATAGCATACAATTCTTTCGATAGAAAATGACAAAAAATTGGGAAGGGGGGCTAAAGTAACAAGTACTGCTAAAGAGTCACAGAATAACCTTGATCTTCCATCACATCCTAGCACAGAGCACACAGGGGTTCAATAACTTCCTCTGGGTGACACAAAGTTAAGGGAAGAACTTCATCAGGGAGAGAGAACATCAGAAGAGAACCTGAGCGAGGAAGAGGAAAGGCAGTAACCAGTAACCATCAATATGAGTAGTCCAAAGGTAAATCTGCTCATTTCTCAAGACTGTTCAAAAGGTTTGTCTAATCAGGAATGGTTTGGCTCTGAGTAGAGGGCTTTAGTCAAATGTTGGGTGGAGAGGGAGGTTGGCACCCTTCAACTGAGCTCTGTCGGGCTAGAAGCTGAGGTCTCAGTGTTAACGTGACACCAGGCCTCGGTTAGCACCACCATGTTAGGCGCTAGAATTCTATGAAAAAGCTCATGTCTAGAAGGGTTAAAAAGACAACCTCTATTCATGAGAGAAGCAGTCCTAGCAGTGTCGGGCCAGGCACTGGATTATACAGGAAATGGAGAGAGAAAACTTAGTAGCAGACTCAGTTGCTGCTGAGTCAGGTATGCCAATATGCCAGTTGTAGTAGCAGTATAAGGTTCTCTCCTTGGTACCCCTTGAGGAGTTAACAACATCTGGTTAATCCTGGAAGGAATTTGTCTATCCTGGAAGGGGCAAGGTAACTTGCTCTGGTTATAAGGTTAAGATTCAGACAGTAATAAACCCCAGAATGATATAGGGTTTTCTGGCAAAAGATAGAGGTAATAAGTTACAAATTTCAGAGGGAGCCTGACAAAGGAAGAATTGGGGGAGATCTCAGGTTAAAGGACAAGCAGCTCTCATAAAGTACTGTCATTGCATCACAACACAGAGGTGTCTGGAAGTACAAAGTAGGTTTCAACATGAGTAGAACATGAAACCGATACTTCTCATCATGCCCTGAATTACGAACAATAAGGTTCCCAAACTTAGAAGGGAGTTTAAGACAGGGTTCAATTGGAAATAGACAGAGGAAAATAGAAGGTTCATCTCAATCAGTAAGCTGGTGACAGCTGTTAGCATCCCAAGGTTCCAAATCCACAAAGTAGTTAGGGATGCAGCAGTGAGTAAGCCCTTCAAGAGCATAAAGCAGTTACAAGGGAACTCATCCATCCCTTGGTTACCAAAGAGACTATAACCCTGGTTTCTCAACAGGTAGCTAAGGGTTTCCCAAAGGGATCCAGAAGTCGCCAAATTATGTTATATGGTTTATCAAGAGCAAGTAGTGGTAGTTTAAATAACTCTGAGAATGGCTTGAAGTTTCAGAACTACAATATACCACTGTTAAACAAGAGGGTGAAACCTAAGTCTGAGAATCTGTGAGCGAAAGGCTTAGGCAGCACATGGAGTATCACACTCAGGGGGAGCGGTATAAGGTTCAGTTAAACATTCCCTAGTTGGTTATATAGCAGACTTCAGACCTCTGCAGGTCAGCAACGACTTCCCAGAGGAGGAGAGTTGGCAACAATAATTAATCTCAGAGTTGATTATGGACTATAAAATCAGGTTCATGTTCTTAACCATGGTAATATGGTGGTTATCAAGAGGTTAAGTACTCACACAGTTGTTCAAATTGCATTCAGAGGTTCAGATATTTGTGCAGTAGCATGAATTTTCTTTCATAATGCTTGTAATAATCCCCATCAACTGTCATATCTGTCAGATATATTTTAATGTTTTAAAGAGTTAAGGGCTACAGATACTCTATTGTAGTTTTAGATGTGAGTGGCATGCCATGGTGGAAAATGCTTCACTTGAAATTAAATAAAGAGGTTCTTGACAGTAATGTTGATGATAACATCATTAACCACCTTGTGTTACTGTGCAGGTCTTGGATTTTTTCTTACTGCCGGCAGAAACAACCGGATCAGAAACCGTGTCAGGACTGATGTCTTTGAGCATGAGAAAGTTCCATTAATGATTGCATCTTTTGATGAATCATGAATTCAAAACACATTCTGTGTAGGACTTTTGGAGGCAAAGAGAAGACAAGTATCGGGAACATTCATATTGGGCTGCACAACGTCTCATGCCATTTTTAACCACTTATGTATTGGGATAAACATAACCATTGCTCCCGACAGAGCAACGCATTGTGCACTCATCCAGTTGAGAACTATAAGAAATTCTAGGCTTATTATTTATTTAGTGTTGTTATTTTTCACAATATTTAATTTTCTTTTGGACAAAATTTATTATGGCCACCAAATCCTTTAAGTGAACCATGGGAAAAAAACTACTCAAAGGAAGAGGTTTTAAAGATTTAGTGATTCTAAACACATACCAGTTGAAAGGGACAAAGTAGTCTAGTTAGTTGCACTGTAGTTACAAGTTGCATGTGAAAGTGACATAATGAAATTAATGAAGCAATGGGAAGACTATAACTGTTCTTCTTCTGAAACGTTAAACTATTTTTTTATAAGCACACCGTAAGTTATTTATAAGCATGTGATAAGAGGGTGTGTTAATTCTTAATTTTATATGAATCAATTGACAATTTAATATGCCACATCACATTTGACGAATATGACATTCACTAAAACTCAATGAGACACATATACTGTTTTGCATATCAACTAACACTATCACACAGCAGTTTGAAATACATGTACGAGGACCATGGTTTTCCTCTCAATATTAATGTATTATTTTTTCTGGTACACTAGCTCCTTATTAAGATCAAGATCACTTTATTGGCCATATACAATTTCTTGTATTAGGAATTTGTCTTTTCACATACCCCAACGTGCTCTCCATGAGACACACAGACAAGGAGAGAAGCTTGGGGTCAGAGCAGAGGGGCAACCATTTATACGGCGCCCCTGGAGCAGCTGGGGTTAAGGGCCTTGCTCAAGGGTCCAACGGAGTAGGATTCCTCTGTCGGCAGTCGGATACAAACCTGTAGCCTTCCAGCCACAGGTGCAGATCCTTAGCCACAGAGCCACCACATTGACCCATTAAGAGGAGAAAGGGTCCCAATATCTCACCTCAATTGTCTTGGCCCAGAGAGGGGTGCTGGGAAAGTTGTGCCTATAAACCTCATTGGCTGTTGTACTGACATCCACCGCAGCTACTACTTCTGCAGGAACTGAGCTCTCTGTAAAAATAAGCAAGAACTGGTGAGACCTTATAGTCAAGCGTCCTTCAAAGCTTTACCTTCGCAGCTTTCCAATCCGGGCTTGTTACACTTATCGTATAAATGTTAGCTAACAGCCCATGGGACAAGTTCCAAGGCAGTGGAGACAAGATGAAAAGTCTTGTCTATTGCTGTATTTGTTAGTCTTTTTTGTGCCATGGACCAGCTTTCTTAGGTTAAAAAGGTGACCACAAAAAGAACCCAATTCAACTGTTAATTAAGTGGGACATGTACAGTACATATACAGTATATTGCACATATCTAGCAATACAGTATTACTGCTTAACCACATTGTAGAAGGTATTAGAGTACTTGCTGTGATCTGTTTATTTAGCCTTTACCAAAAGCTGCAGTAACTAATTTCCTTCTACAAGGTGTTAAGAGTAGAATAAATCATATCTCAAAGGAAAGGAATAACACTTAAAATGGGAAATCAACTTCTGTCATGTACAGAAGGACAGGAGAGATGCTCACAAACATCATAAAACAGGACAAACATGTGAAACAAACTTCTTTCCGAGTCTGTGTACTTAATAAAAACTGAATGCGCAGAAGACTGTCTTTGCTCCTCTGATAAAGAATTTCCCACAACAGTACTCTTACGCGGACAGGTTAGTAGACCTAACCTCTAGCATTTTTAAAAACCTTCACTACTGTAGGGTTTGTGTGAATTTATGTAAATAGCTGTATTTACTGGTTGTTTTAATATTTTGTGAATAAAACATTAATATAAATATGTTCAGATTAAATGCAAGATATGATGTAGTCCAACCAGGTTAAATAAACAGTACTGTGTTCACTGGAATGGGGAGGGTCCGAGTCTACATGGAGATTTTATTCTTTATTGCCACACAACAATAGCTGGTAGAATTAGCTATCGGTACAGCAAGAACACAGATAAGACATACATACAATATATACAGTTCAAATTTAAATAGGACAGAAGACAGACCAACATTGTCACATACATATGTAAACGACTTTCCATGGAGCAGCATACATTTAGAAGAATACATTAAATTATACAATGGATAAATTATAAAATTGAATTCAGATTTCAATGTGAATTCAGAGTTCGTATGGCAGTGGGAAAGAAGCTGAGGTTAAAGTGAGCAGACCTTGAGAGGAAGGATTTGAAATATATTCCAGAAGGGAGAAGCTTAAAGAGATTATGAACTGGCTGAGAGGGGTCTTAGATGACTTTCTTGGCCCGATTGGAGGAACGCCTTGAGTAAATAGAAGGGAGTTTACAGCCAACACTTTTTGCAGCTTCATGTCCTGAGAGAAAAAATGGAGAACATCTTTCATGGCAACAGTGTGGGGGCACGTTTCTGAGGTCATGTGCAGCCCAGTAAGTCTCAAAAGACTCCAACCAGCAAGTCCAGGGTACTGGAGGCTCGTGGGTGAAGCGAGGAAAGGGGGAGGCAGTGGGAATGAATGATCCCTCCTCATCGCTAATGTTACACCATGGAAAACCAGGGACTGAGGTGGACAGGTTTTGCAGAAGTCTGCTCTTTATTGTGCATATCTTGGAATTGACAGTGAATGGCAGAGACCCGCTAAGGCAGTAACCCCAAAACATAAGGACAAAAGTGTCGTTAACACAAACGGAAGCTGTGTTCGACATAAGACAATTGACTGAAGTGGGCCACAACATCAGCCATGTTAAGAACCGAGGTAATATTATATACTGCATAATTTAATGGTATACCTCTGGTTATGGTTACACTACAATATTATCAATATCTACAGTACTTTATACAGAGTACTGCACTTTCAGTATAACTTTTAACAACTTTGTCATACTCTAGCTCATTGAAATAATTTTGTAGAAGTCTATGGAGCTGGAGAAATATGTTTTGAAACAGCTAATTTACTAGAAATCGTAACTGTTACAGAGTGTTCGATAGACTTTGAACAGATATTGTCAAATATTGTTAAACTATGCTTACTTGAAAATGTTACAATCAATGAGTGAACAACATCGTAATTGGTCATTATCATGTCCCCATCATTAAAAATGACAGTTTGACTGCATCACAAACAATAACACAAACAAGATTCTGACTTGAGCAGTGACAGTCTCTGGTACATTGCAATTTGATTTTTGTGAACAAACATAGGAAGCCAATGATGGTTAAAGTATGAAAATGCCTGTTGAACTGGGATTTCTGATATTAGGGTCATTAAGTTTGTGGTCGATACAACAGTCATTGGCTTGATCACAGATGGTGAAGAGTCTGTGTACAGGGAGGAGGTTGAAACCCTGGCAGCATGGTGCCAGGAGAACAACCTCTCTCTGAACATCAGTAAGACTAAGGAGATGATTGTGGATTATAGGAAACACCAGGGAGGAGATCACACACCTATTTATATCAATGGGACTTCAGTGCAGAGGGTCAGCAGTTTTAAGTTCCTAGGAGTTAACATCTCAGAGGACTTAACCTGGACCCACCACAGCAACATCGTGGTCAAAACAGCACAGCAGCGCCTATTCTTTCTCCGTAGGCTAAAGAAGTTTGCATGCCATCCCATATCCAGGCCGGCTTCTACAGGTGCACTATTGAGAGTATCCTGACTGGTTGCATCACTTCCTAGTATGGGAACTGCTCTGCCCAGGATTGCAAATTACTGCAGAGGGTGGTGAAGTCAGTGCAGCTCATTTCCGGCTGTGAGCTACCAAAAATCCAGGATATCTACTCAGCTAGATGTCTTAAGAAGTCCAGGTCCATTCTCAAGGACCCCAGTCATCCCAGTCACAAACTGTTTTCTCTCCTACCGTCCGGTAAATGGTACCGAAGCATTCGGTCAAAGTCCAAAAGATTACGGAACAACTTCTACCTCCAGGCAATAAGACTGCTAAATAGCTGCAGGTCTTTCAGCAAATCACCGTAATGGCAACATGGACATACAGTTTCCATTGTATTCTGCATACTGCACTACTTAGACATAATGTATTGCATACACCCTGGACACACAGCAGCTTTATTTATATTGAGTTTTTTTCTGAGTTTATCTTAATCAATTTCTATTGCCCTATTATTTATTATTATGTAACCTTTATTTTGTAACTTTAATTTTGTGATTTTTATCCCCCCCGTTGAGCTCGCAGAAAAGACATTTCATTGCCAGCAACTACTGCTGCACGCTGTATTGTTGTGCATTTGATAAACTTTGATTGACTGGGGGTGTTTTTTTTGTTTTTGTTTGAAGAGTGTAGATTTAAAAAATAAAAAAGGATTCGATCTCATGTTAGCAACAGCTGCTGTGACCTACCGCAGTCTTACTTTTACATAATTAATTACATATTTCTACTAACTTGGGGAAGAAACTGTTTTGATACCACTATAATTGTCCATCAAAATGTTTGTTGTACTAATTCATCCTATGGTCCCTCTACCTTGTCTATAAGATGGAAACCACTTGTAGAGAAATTTTTCACATGCAATCAATCTCAACAAAAAGGTAATCTTTATATAAATTTCTTATATTACTGACAACTAATGCCCATAGGTTGGAGGGTTCTTTTTAAGGCAATTGGCTTTTTTGCAGCTACTAGTAGGATTTGTAGCAAGTAAGCCTGCTTTGTTGCATGAACCTCTGGTTTTACCCCTAGTTTTGCCATAATAGAGTCTTTTGACAAATCTATGTCTACAATGCTATTTATAGCATGATAAACCAATTATCTAATTTAAGGCAATTCTAGAAGACATGCAAATATGTAACTATACATAACTATACTCTCCCCACATTCTCTCCAGCAATGGCTAGTGGCACTAGGATTAATTTGAGCCATAATGTTTGCAAAAGTGAATGCACAATTACGATTTTTTTGCTGATTTTAACATAATGAATAGTTAATCTGGGATTGCAAAAGTTTGGGCACCCTGTGAGTCAATACTTTGTAACACTTCTATTGGCAAGAATTCCAGACATTTATTGTAGTGAGCTAAAGGTCTTTCTATTCTTGCTTTCGGATTTTTTTACCCGCTCTTCTTTGCACAACCCTTCTAGCTCAGAAATTTTGTTTGGTGTTCTTGCATGCACTGCATATTTGAGATCTCCCCACAGATTTTCATTGACATTCAAGTCTAGGCACTGTGAAGACCATTTCAAAATCTGAAATATTTCATTCCTCTCACTACTACATGGCTTATTTTAAGGGTTTCTGATTGTTGGCTTGCTGAAGTATCCAACCTCTTTTCAGCTTCAGTTTCTTCATTGACTGTTGGATATTAGCTTTTAGGATTTGCTGATATTAGCTGTTTCATTCTTCCTTCCACCTGCACAATATTTCCTGTGCCACTGGCTTCCTCACAACCACAAAGCATAATAGATCCACCCCCATGCTTAACAGTCAGCAAGGTGTTCTTGTCTTAAAATGCTTCACCTGGCAAGCTCTGGAACTCTTTACCCAAGGATATTAGAGAGTCACCTTCTCTAAACTCCTTCAAATCCAGACTCAAAACTTTCTTCTTCAGTAAAGCCTTTACTTAACTGGTTC